ATGAGTTGGTTATAAGTCAATGGGTCTCAAATGATGACTGTTATATGTCAGGCACCACAGAGAGCCGTTACTACACATTTGACTTGACAGAGAACCCAAAAAAGTTGATAAATACAACTCAGGGGCTCTGCAAGCATTCAATAAAATGCTGTTTCCACACCTGCCATAACCGCTTCTGAAGGATCTAAACTTGAAAATCACTAATGTGTTCAAGTGGCTCCCAGCATCCTCCCATTGCCGCATGAGCTGATGAGGGTGATTCCAAAGCTAATGGAGCAGGAACTGGAGACAGGTTAGGATCATGAACCTGGAGAGATGGCAGCCCAGGACAGTGACTCTCTTTTAAGTGTTAGCCTCCTGCCTCCACAATGTTCAGTTACATCCTAGAAAACCCATTTAGGTAGGGCAAACTGGTTATTCAAATTTCATGCAGTTAGACAAGATAGGTTCCTTTTGCCACGCCGAGTTTTACTAATTCTCCCGACACTCCATGGTGTCTCTACTTTCCACCTTTACATTTCAACATTTGCCCATTGGAAAACATCTTAGAATCACGTGAGCCTTTAATCTGGTTGAATGCACCTCTCTTCTTTCTAAGCATCTGGGTTCTGGGCATACTTCTGTCCCATTTTGCCCCACACCCCCAGGATCTTTGTAGGTTTTCTGAGTCTGTGATACAGCTTCATCCAACACCTTACTAATATATAGCGAGCTGGCCTCTGCTTTCCCGCCTTGTTCTAGTCTCGCTGTCATGAAACAGCCCCTGTATTAACTTTCCTATGTTTGAAATAACAACATGGGGCTTCTAAGTTCCTCACTATCCTAATTTAAATATATTATACATACAATTTGACATGGATTGGTCAACTCAAATGCAAATCAGAGGGGTAAGCCTTCATGTATCTCTGATGTAGTATTCCCCTCTGTATTCTGTGAATATGTTTTATTACCATTGGTGAAAGAGAATTGGCTTTGGCCAATGGTAGGGCAGAATAAAGCCAGATAGGAAGTCTGAACAGAGATATATAGAGAGAGAGTAGGTGAAGTCAAGGAGATGCCATGTAGCTGCCGAAGGAGACAGACACCAGAACTTTACCTGGTATGCCATGGCCTTGTGGTGATAGACAGAATAAAAGAAATGGGTTAGGCCTGGCGGTGGTGGCACACACCTTTAATCCCAGCACTCGGGAGGCAGAGGCAGGCAGATCTCTGTGAGTTCGAGGCCAGCCTGGTCTACAAGAGCTAGTTCCAGGACAGGAACCAAAAGCTACGGAGAAACCCTGTCTTGAAAATTCAAAAAAAAAAAAAAAAAAAAGAAAGAAAGAAAAGAAAAAGAGAAAAGAAAAAAGAAATGGGTTAATTTAAGTTATAAGAGAGCTAGCCAGAAATATGCATAATCCACTGGTCAAGCAATGTTGTAATTAATATAGATTCTGCGTGATTATTCAGGTCTGGGCAGCTGGGAAACGAATGAATAGTCTCTGTGTACATACTTTGGGGAATTATTTACATCAAATTGTGCACCTTTTATTCTGTTAGTTTTACTCATTTGACATTTATTGAAAATCCAGTTCATACCAAAAATCTCCCTCCTAGCATAGTCAAAAAATGAAAAAAAAAAAAAGCTTTTGTCCCCGGGGGTTGAGAGTGGGGTTGAAGCAGGGACTGCAGAAGAGACCAAGGTCACTATGTGATAAGTCACATGGCTCCATGGATGACAGGCGAGGCTAGGGAAGCCTTTCTAAGCTGTCACAGCACACAGCCATTAGAGGAGTTTGGAGAATACCTTGAAGCCAGAATGGGAAGCAAGTGCCAGGGCCAGATCAAGAGAGCAGAGGTTTGCAGGATGTTGAACTGCTGCCATAGTCAGACTTTGTGGTGGATTTTTTTTTTTTTTTTTTTTTTTTTTTTTTGGTTTCTCTATAGCTTTGGAGCCTGTCTGGAACTAGCTTTCGTAGACTGGGCTGGCCTCGAACTCACAGAGATGAATAAGAATGGCCCCACAGGCTCCTAATTTGGGTGCTTGGTTCTTAGCTGGTAAAACTGTTTGGAGAAGGATTAGGGAGCATGGTTTGTTAGAGAGGTGTGTTGCTGAAGTTTTAAGAGCCGCTGCCAGGCCCATTCTCTCTCTCTGTCTCCCTCTGTCTCACACATGTTGATCAGAATGTAAGCTCAGCTCTCAGCTACTGCCCTAGTGACATGCTTGCCTGTTTGCCGACATGCTTCCCACCACGATGATCATGGACTCAGCCTATGAAACTGTAAGCAAGCCCCCAAATAAATGCTTTCTTTTAGAAGTTGCCTTGGTCATGGGCTCTCTTCACAACAACAGAACAGTGACCAAGACAGAGCTGAAAGGTCTGCAGCTGGGATGGAGGCAAGAGGTCCAGCTCCACAGGGCCGCCTGCGCCATGAAGAGAAACAGTGAGGTCAATGGAAAACCCTGACAACAGTGACTCGGCCAGTTGGGAAGAGGTTGCTTGCTGCAAACGGGAAAACACAAATTCTCTAGAATGCATCAAATGACTGGCTGGCTGATAACAGGGGTTAAAGTGTCAATGGCTCCTTGTTTCTTTCACTAAATATTTACTAAACACCAAACAGTGAGGTTGGGTCTGGAGACAGAAAGGCAAATTAGTTTCTTACCTGCAGAGTTCACAGTCCAGCGAGAGAGAATCTGGGTTAGTTGTGGTAAGTATCAAGGGTAAGAGGGTGGCAAGGACCGAGTAGGAGAAAATGGAAGAATCCATAGCTGAAGGGCTACTGCCTTGGAGTTCCTGGTAGCTGTGTTTCCTGTTGCTATGACAGACTACCCAGATGAAGACAACCTAAGGGAAGGAGTGTTTATTTGACTCACAATTTGAGGATACAGTCTGTAATGACAGGAAAGTTCATGGTGACAGGAACTTGAGGAAGCTAGTCACATGGTCTCCACAGTGGAGAGAGGAGTATGCTAAGGCTCAGCTCCCATTATTCAACCTGCCAGGTCTTTGGTAAAACACTGCTCACCATTAAAGTTAGTCTTATGTCATTACCCAGTCTTAACCCCTCACAGCTATGCTCAGAGGCTAACCCAGTCTACTAAACCCCTTACAACTCTGCCCAGAGACTAAATTAGTCTAGTTAACCCCTTACAGCTCTGCCCAGAGACTAACCCATCTAGTCAACCCCTCACAGCTGAGCCCAGAGGTTAACCCAATCCAGTTAATCCCCTCACAGCTGTGCCCAGAAGCGTGCTCCTAAGTGATTATAGATCTGTCAAGTTGACAATCACTATTAACCATTATTAATAGAGTTTAAGAGCAAGTTACCCAAAATGGGAAGAACAGACCTTTCAAGTAAAGGAAGCCACATTTACATCAGCTTGGGACAAAACATTCTTAGCAATCCTAGAAAATGGCAGACGGAGGCACCCAGGCCAAAGGTACACAGGTGAGCTGGAAATAAGTCCTCGGGGCCCATTATAAAGACCTAGGGCACTTTGTTGGCAGAGAAACACTTCTTCTGAAGAACAGGGATTGACTGAAAGTTTTTAAAAGGGGCTGCCAGTGGATGAAGTATTCTGAAGTATTCTGAAGTATTCTAAAGTATTCTGAAAAAAAATCACACGGAAGCAGAGAGCCCTGCTGTATGGATGCAAACTACAAGGCTGAGGCTGAGGTTTGGATGGATGCTGAGGAGGATGTCAACGAGGAGATGCAGTGGGACGCAGTTCACACAACAACCCTGAGAGCACACACTCCAACCAAGCAGATGTGTTCATGCCAACGGTGCCCCAAGGACGCCTTCAATATGCTTCTGTTCATCTCTCTCACGCTTGTTAAAGCCTGTTAACTGCTTTAAAATGTGTGCCCTGGCAGAGCAGACTGTTGTCATCCAAAAAGTGTGGGAAGGCATCCCAAAGAACAGACTGCACTGCTAAGAAAGTGCTGAGATGGGGGATATGAGGACATGGGACAGCGTCCAGTAAACATGCCACGGTGTGTCTCAACGCGGAAAAGGAGGCTGGTGCCAAGGAGAAGTGGAAATGGGGTAGGACATTCCAGGGACAGAGGGAAGGGGTGGGCACTCTGTGAGTAGAGGGAAGTGGGGTGGGCACTCTGGGGCAGAGGGGAATGGGGTGGGCACTCTGGGGCAAGAGGGAAGTGGGGTGGGCACTCTGGGGCAGAGGGAAGTGGGGTGGGCACTCTGGGACAGAGGGAAATGGGGTGGGCACTCCGAAGCCGAGGGAAGTGGGGTGGGCACTCTGGGGCAAGAGGGAAGTGGGGTGGGCACTCTGGGGCAAGAGGGAAGTGGGATGGGCACTCTGGGACAGAGGGAAATGGGGTGGGCACTCTGGGGCAAGAGGGAAGTGGGGTGGGCACTCTGGGACAGAGGGAAATGGGGTGGGCACTCTGGGGCAAGAGGGAAGTGGGGTGGGCACTCTGGAAATACATGTGGCCACATTTAGCCTTTAGGACCTAAAGGAATGGCCTCTGATCCAAAAGGAATGACTAGGCTGTTCTTTGACTGGATCATACATGCCATTGCAAGCATGCTAATTATTTCCATTAGAAGACGAATCACAAGATCTACCAGTTCACACATAGAGACATCTACTCTGTCTGAAGACAGAGTTTGCAAAGATGACAGCAGATTATTAACATGTGAGTTTGACTTTGTTTCCGTTGGAAATACTTTACCAAAGTTTCCCTAGAAAGAAGGAAACAGAAGTTTTCTAACATTGTTTCTAGTTTACAATGGAAAAACTTTAGGTTGGAGAATGGCATGCTGGAAAAAAAAATCATGATTTAATGACTCCTTCAGGAACCAGTACTGGAAGTTATGTTCAATTATGTCAGCATCGATCATGGGTAGTATATAAAGAGTATCCATGAATCAATAATATGATACTAAAGACAGATGCTAAAAAGAAATCCCACACTAGCTCAGGATTGAGCGCAAAAAGGTTATTTATGTATTCCAGAAGCAGGCAGATGGGGTGTGTCAGACTTGAGGAGAAGAGATACACCATGGGGGATGCTCCTGACTATGATAGAAGCCAATGGCTGAATGAGAAGTTCAAGCTGGGCCTGGACTTCCCCAATCTGCCCTACTTAATTGACGGGTCCCACAAGATCACCCAGAGCAACGCCATCCTGCGCTACATTGCCCGCAAGCACAAACTGTGTGGGGAGACAGAGCAGGAGAGGATTTGTGCCGACACTGTGGAGAACCAGGTCATGGACAACCGCATGCAGCTCATCATGCTCTGTTACAACCCTGACTTTGAGAAGCAGAAGCCAGAGTTCTTGAAGACCATCCCTGAGAAGATGAAGCTCTATTCGGAGTTCCTGGGCAAGCGGCCATCGTTTGCAGGGGACAAGATCACCTACGTGGATTTCCTCGCTTACGATATTCTTGACCAGTACCGTTTCTTTGAGCCCAAATGTCTGGATGCATTTCCCAACCTGAAGGACTACATGGCCCGCTTTGAGGGCCTGAAGAAGATCTCTGCCTACATGAAGACGGGTTGCTTCCTTCCAACACCTATCTTCCCAAAAATGGCGCACTGGTGTAACAAGTGGACCCCTGCTGTGCTGGCTGTTACACGGGGAACCTGTCTATGGTAGGGGTCCTCCAGGCCATGGGAACAGCTGGCCTTCTACACTGCTGCCTCCCTGTTATTCCCACACCCTTCTCTGGCTTTTTCTCCTCAGGTCTTAACCTAGTCAAACCCATGCAGTCTTCATCTCCCCGCTTCCTTTACTCAACGCCCCTTCTTCATTTGTGCCCCAATCGACTACACAGTCCTCTTCTGCGATTTGATGTCTGCCCTGCATTCTGCTCCCTAGAATTGCCCTACAGGTCAATACTGTTTCAAGTTCCCCAGTGGCGGGGCTCCCCCAGGCCCATCTCATCTCCAATAAAGCCTGAAACACAGACACACACACACAAAAGGGTTATTTATTTAGGGGTAGACTCACAGATAGCAGTCTTCTGCTCGAACAGGAAAACAGTAACCGAATCCAGCAACTGGAAGAGAGGACAGGCGTGTGCTTTACATTGGCATTTATAGTATAAGAGGCCATGCCTAGGTGGGTGGGTAACTTAAAGGCTACTGGCTGAAGGATTTCCTACAGCACCTCCCCCTTTTGTTTAAATAAGAGAGTTCTAAGCCTAATACAAAATTATATACAATAAGAACAAATATCAAGTATAAGGATTAGAATTACAACCAACATAAACAATATCAAACAAGAAACATGGGATAAATGCTTCAAAAAGTTATCCTATCCTAAGGAGTCTAAGTCTTGTATTTTAAATAACTTGGCCATGTCATGAGAGGAAAGTACCTATGACTATCTACCCCACCTCTTGGAATATGGGTATGATGCATAACTTGAGTTCCAAAAGGGTAAAGTAGTGGTCTGGATTTACAGAGCTTGGGCAGGAAAGGGGGTGCTAAAGTTAAGTCTGGAAACAGACTGTATCCATCCAGGAGAAGGTATGACTGAAAAATGGTAAGGCCAGTTAGAGGATGGGGACCTCCCAGGAAAGGGCAAAGGGCTCATCAGGCAAGCAAGAAGTGTTACGTATATATAAGGCCAGATTGGAAAAGACTGACACTTTCAGGGCAGCGGTCATCCAAGTCATCCACTCACAATCCCTCTTCACTTTAAACATTTGTACACAACTCTAGGTGTACAAAATAGGCATACAAACATTTACTGATAATAATTCATAAAGAAATATATTACAAACAATTCCTTGGTGAATAGGTAATTTTACTGTTTATTAAGGATGAATACAAATCTATACAGTAATAAGATGGATGTATATGTTTACTTATACATAATGCATTAAAATTTGGCAGTCCCAATAAGCCACCATGGGACTCTGGTGGGTCTTCCATCTCCTCTATGGTTACTTGTCTGAGGTCTGACCTTCATTCTGGCTTAAGTCAGACGGTATGGCCCTTACTACTTCTGTGCTATCTTCCTCCTCTAGGTAGCAGTAGAGATTCACAGCTTGCCTGCTCTGGGGTTTTTTTTTTACACTCTAATAAAGCTGTCCTTGGGGGTAGGGGGTATGGAGAAAAGAAGAGAAGGAAAGGAAAGGAAAGGAAGGAAGGAGAGAAAGAGAAAAAAAAGAAATTGTGGCTGAATTTTGGTACTGTAGAATGTGAAGCATCTTCAATATTTTTTCAGAGTTGATAGACACTTGGATTTTATAATCATCAATGCCGATAACACCAAATTGAAAAAATTCATAGCACAAAGTGGAAGATGTATATTTTCATAAGGCAAAATTTATTTTAAAATTTTTTAGAGACTTAAACCAGCAACACAAATAGAAATTTTAGAAATCAAACATTGTAACACAATGCATTCCAAGGATATATTAATTTGATGCCTACACACTGCAGAATGATGGCAGAAGAATGTAAAATCTTTGTTTTCTGTAACTAAGCTGGGATGGTCCTATACAGTCAGAAAACTTTTTACGGACAGTTACTATCATACCACAGTCCTGAATCTGAGCAGGTGTGTTTTGGACAGCCTTGGCAGACAGTTAATGTCACACCACAGTCCTGAATCCGAGCAGGTGTGTTTTGGACAGCCTTGGCAGACAGTTAATGTCACACCACAGTCCTGAATCCGAGCAGGTGTGTTTTGGACAGCCTTGGCAGACAGTTACTATCATACCACAGTCCTGAATCCGAGCAGGTGTGTTTTGGACAGCCTTGGTTGGTGTTACATGTCATGAAGCTGTGCACAGTGAAAAACATGTATGTTGTGTAAAGGCCACAGTGGAGTAGCATGATGCAACACAGATGAACCACACGGAAACACCCTAGATTCACTATACATTTGAATCTGGGTAGAGTTTTGGCAGTTGTATGTTAAGAAACATTTTATGTGGCAATTTTTTTTTTTTTACAACTCCCACATTCAATTGTATCCCTGTATTTTATTTTTAAAAGGCCCTAACAGGGCACCAAAGGGTTCAACATGGTCCTCTAAGACTGTTTCCCTAGTGCTCATTGAAAGAGAGGGTGAGGGTAGCTATGGGAGTGGAGCGGAGAAAGAAGGGCTGGCCCAGGTACTCGCTGAGGTGACAGTTGGGAGTAGGGGCAGTGTAGGGACTCGGGAGGCTGTTGAATTCAGAGCTGACAGCTGAAGAACTGCCCGGGAAGGGGCAAATGCCATGGAGGCTGACATCTCCATGACAATGAGGGATACCATTTTCATGGAGACAATAGTTTGAGGGATTTCAACTTTTCACTGAGTTTTTCTCATTATCCTTCCTGCTTCTTTGCAACTTTGTGTTTGAATTAACTTTCCTGAAGAGCCATTAGCTCATGTGTTTTAAAAACCAGAGGTTCATGGTTCCAGGTGCCTGTATTAGTTAGCGTTCAGCTGCTGTGACTGTAGGAGGAAGGACCGACGGATGTAAGGAAGGACATAAGATAGGAAGGGAGGGAGGGAGGGACAGAGAAAGGAATGGAGGGACAAAGGGAGAAATGCAGGGAGGGAGGGAGAAGTAGAGGGAGGAAGGATTTGTTTTGATTTCAAAATTTAATTTCAAAGGGTTTCTGTCCAGGATTCTTTGACCTCTGAGCTTGGTCATAACATACGGCATGCAGAGTACATGGCTGGAGCTTTCCTTCTCTTCTTAGCAGACTAGAAGCAGAGATAAGGGGAATGCAGAAAGGGAACAGATACAGCTCGGAGTATACACCCAGAACTACTTCCTCTAACTAGACCCCACTTCCTCCTTTCACCAACTCCTATAAATACAAGGGGTTCATCCACTCATTAGGTCGGAGCCCTCAGGATCTAAAGGTCTCTGGAAACACAATCACTGATACGTCCAAGGTGTACTTTGCTCATTCCCCAGGAACTTCTTTTTTTTCGAGACAGGGTTTTTCTGTGGTTTTGGAGCCTGTCCTGGAACTAGCTCTGTAGACCAGGCTGGTCTCGAACTCACAGAGATCCGCCTGTCTCTGCCTCCTGAGTGCTGGGATTAAAGGCGTGCGCCGCCATTGCCCGGCCCCAGGAACTTCTTAATCAAATCTAGCTAACATTAAAAATTAGCCAACAAAGAAAGCGTGAGATCTCTGACCCAGTTCAACTCATTCACTGCCCTCTGTGAAGCTAGCCAGCTTCCAAGAGATGACTTCGCACTGCACCTGGAGGAATCAGAAACTACATCCTGCCAAGAGGAACTGAAGCACCCATGCCTACACATGTGACATAGTCACGTGTGGGCAAGAATGAGGAGCTCTTAGGAATGCTAAATGCTGTGGATGGACCACTTGGCCCACAACTAGTAAAACCAAAGTTTCCCAGAAATCATCTAAGACAGACTAAGAAGTATTCCCATGTATAGGCCAGAGAAAATGATCTCAAGGACTCTCAAGGCCAAGACCGATGAGACCAATCATTGTAAGAATGGAAAATTGGAAACAGCTTAAAACCCAAGAGGAGGAGGTTAACCGTATTGTGTATATTTATGAAGCAGACCGATAAACGAGTGGCATACAGCAACATGGAGAGATTTCAAGAGATGCAATGTGGACTATAAAAAGCAAGTTTTGAGAGGAAATTACCATTTATGTGAAGATTTCCAATATGCAAAGCACAATTAAAAAAAAAACAAAGAGTAAAGCCAGCACAAAATTCATAATCAGAAAAGTCAAGGTGGTGAGACCTGGTAAGAGACAGTAGGTCACTAAGGAAGGGCCCTTAAGGGCATCTTCCCTTGGCCCCTTCCTACTGCTGTCACGGTGTGAGCTGTCCCAGCCAAGCCTCATCAGCAGTGATAGACTGAAATGTCTGAAACCATGAGCAAACTCCACACACCCTCCGTCCCTGCCGCTTTAGCTCTTTCTGTAGGTATTTGGTCACAGTGACCACAAAGCCGCTGATTCACTGGGCGTGTCTCTCCTTCCCGCAGCCCTGGCTGGAACTCCGGGTACAACACTCTGGAAGCCATGAGTGGACATCTTTCCCTCATCCTTGCGGGTACAGAGAAAGTATTTAGTCTTCCCTTGCTAAGTATATGGAAGTCCCCTTCTACTCCGATTTTGTTGGTGGCCCTGACTCACACGAAGGCCGAATGGTGCCTGGAAGCCAGGTTCTGGGCCCTGCCTTTGCTCTCTATTGTTGGGACAGTGCTGCTCCCACGACTTCTGGGCTGGCTGAGCTGGTAGGTCTATGTGCAGGTAAAAAAATCATGAGATTCTCCATCCCATCCAATATGATGCTACAGGTCCGTTCTATATTTGCATTTGCCCCTCCTAGCCTTGTTAGGACACTCAGGTCTGACACTCAGTTCTCCCCCTCACCTGGACACTTCCTTTAAGCCTCCAAACTCTGACTTCCCTTCCCCGTCCTTGTCCCCTCAGGCACACAGGTGGTTCTCCTGGTCTTTCACTTACTGCCCCAGGACACAGTGGCGCCCCTCTGACTCCCCCCCACCCTTGCTCTGACCCTGTAAACCCTTTAGGGTAGACTTCTTCAGGATGGGAAGGAAAAGAAAGGTTAGGGAATTAAGCTAAAAAAAAAAAATACTTTTTTAATGAAAGAAATCAGACGCGGTGCTGGTGAAGTGGTTCAATGAATGA